ACTTTGGAGGATATTAATTAGCGCGCGATTCATCGCTCTCTCGTCGCACTTCACACGCAGCCGCACGCAATCCCGACGAAGGCGCGCGATTTTTCCACAGCGATGACTCATTGCGGTTTAACTACGTCGCGGCTGAAAATTCCTTTCACTTGTACCGTCGCGGCTAAGACTGTCGGTGAATCGAGTCCTCGACTGAAATTACAGTTACATGATAACTCGCCGGTGTATTACTATTCTTGTGAAACCGAAATCGATGTCTGTCCGACGTAGCTCCAACTGGCGCACGTCGTTGGTAAACACGAGGCGATTTGGTTGGCGTACACGCTAATTGCCTGTTGGTATCATCATATGCAATTGTTACGATCCGATTCTGTTTTGACGCTGTTTCTTCGGTTCTCTATAGCCGCGTGTATCATATTACTTTTGGCGAATGAGATAAATATAGAAAAATGGACACTTTTTGTTGACGCGAGCTTGGGCGCGCTTTGGACTTTTGGTACGTGCGGAGAAGTATTTTCTCTTTTGTGAAGGTATTTCCTATTTTTTTACGCGTGAAAGATAATATCGTTGTACAAAAAATTTGTTTTGAGCCTGCAAATATTTGCGACGACTGCAATCGTTGGGAGAGAAAGTGCCGTTAATTCTGAAAAATACGCAACGATGTGAGGAGTGGTACGATTAGTAATTAAAAGTATGTCGTAGCAAAATTTCATCGTCGATGGACTAATGAATTTGTTAAATTTACCAGTTATGCGATGAATTTTGACGAAACAACGTTGCATTTACACCACCACCGGTAATGCGGTCTGCGCATTACGGTAGCGTAATTACGCGCGCCAAATAATGATTTGCCGTTGTTTATTTCATGGGATACCATAAGTAACCGGGATCATTGTTCAGCCGTAACAAAAGTTAATTATTCGGCGGTGCGCTTAATGCCTGCAATGAATCGGAATCACTTGGGACGACATGGACGATAATCATTTAGCGTTATGTAAAATCGACGGGAATTATACGAAACCGCGACATATACATAATATTTATAAAAGCCGGCTGCTAACGGCGTGCAATGTTAACATGAAATATTAATGAGCGACAGTGTACAGGTGTAGCTTTGGCATGTTAATACGATCTCGGTAATATTTACAATCTTCTCTTAATATCACCTGTAGATATCATTATCGGAGACAGACAGATGGCGATAAGATTTATCCTCCTCCAGAAGTGGAATTTTGACGTTATCAAGAACCGATACAATCGTTATCACCGATCGAATCGTTAATTAATTATTTTTCGTAATTGCATGATATCGCGCGAGAGAGCAATCGCCTTGAAATCATGTAAGATTGCATGTTTTCTCGCGCCAATATTTACGTCAGCCCTCTCGCTCTTTCGTTCAGTACAGCAGAATAGCAAAAAATAAATACGTTTCAGAGTACGGAAATGAACTTTTAGATATCGCGCAATAATTCGTTCTCTTCTGCCTTCGCTGACTATTTTGTCCCCCACAGATGTTTGTCTATCCTATAGTAACGCGATTAATTCATAAAATAGGTATGCACCAGAGAACGCGTGTCCGACAGCAATTCCGTGTGTTCTGTTTCTTTGTTTTTCGCGTCTCGTTATTTGTTTCCGCGAAATGGACGACATGCACGCAAAACTGTGCCACGTAGATTTATTCGGAACGTCGGGATTATTCCGTAAAAGATGTTACGAAAGTTCAATTTGAGTTTAAATTTCTCCGGGGCCATCTTCAAGATTTATGCCAAATAGCAACAAAGTCCACGAAATTATGGCTATCGTTGTTACGTTGAGATTGCCTCTAATATTACAAATGTGTTTTTCAACCTGTCGTCGCGCATACGCTGCGCGTATTTTAAAATAATAAAATAAATTGGAATTAAAATAATAAAATAAAATGGAATTGTAATTTACAAGTGCAACTAAATCCTGTAAGCTCGCGAGCGTATAATATCGCGGGAGTGTATGACTTAGAAATTAAATCTCGAATTCGAGAGTTCAGTGCATTCAGTTTCAGAAACGTAGAAATACGGAAACGGAAACTCTCTCTCGCAATATCGTCGCGAAGCATAGGAAACGTATTGAGAGCCTTGGTATTCAAGCTCTTTACATTAAAGTTATAAACATCTGAGAAAATACAGCGAGAGTTCATCGGGGATATTAAAATGGAGAATCCTCCATGTTTTTTAATGTGACCTATAATCGAAGTAATCCATGTTAATCTGAATCAACGAGGTCAAACATTACATAATCTCTCATTCCGCATCGTAAAAGAAATTTTCTTCTATTTCTGACCGGCGGAGCAGAGAGTAAAAGTTAACTAAGCTGTTAAGAGAGATAATTAGGTTTCCTTATACAATGTTATAATACTCTTTGGTCGCGTTGTAGCGCATCTTTATTCTAGCGAGGACAATCAGAGATTATTGTTTCATGTTTATGATTTTGATTGCTACTAATCTCTCAGTGATTTTTATTTTGCTGCAAGAAACGAAGTAATAACACCGATACTGAGATAAACATTAAGAAGTAAGTTTTAATTATTGTAAAATACGTTTATTTATCGTGTTATTTGTATTTCATTATTATCTATGTACACTGTATCTTTTCGCTGTATATTTAAAATAACATATTTAAAACATATTTAAAACATAAATTACTACGGTTCAAGTATTTTTTATCTGAATACTTTCATCGTAACAAGATTTTCCTCTGGTATTAACGTACGATAGCAATGTATGTAGGTTAACGAATGTGATAACCAATATAAACAAATCGAAATTTGGGCGACGCGATTTAAAATAATTCCAATTTTGATACAATTTTTAAAATGACATAAAATAATCGCGTACCCAGTATGGTCGTGAAAGATAGACGCTAATTTAACTTCGTTACACATTGTAAAAATCCTTTTTTATTTTCTTATATACAGAGAGGTTCATGGTAGAATATTACTTTGATGCAAAAAGCTTATCCGTGTGTAGTTAACTCTGGATTGTATAGAAATTTATTGATTTGGGTGGAACATTAATAAGAAAAATAGAGGAAACAATTTGCTAACAATTCTTGAAAAAATAATGACTCGACTTTATTCGCAAGGATAACCAAGAGGTACTTTGCATACAACCGGATAATTTTATTCTTAATTTTACTCTTGTTGAATAAATACAACCAACAAATTTTGTATACCAATTTAATGTATAACAATGTTTTTGCTACAATGTTAGTTATTAATGTGTGTTACATCTTTGCATTGGTAAAATTTGTCATGGTGGAGTTAGTCGATAATAGTGTTTACTTCGTTTTCGTTATCACTAGTTTTGTTAGCGTTAATAAGTAAAATAAATCTGTATATAGAAAGACAATACATAATTATGATAAAATTTGACTCGAGGGAACATTTTGCATCTGTAAATCGTTTTGATCAAATACGTGTGAAAGACATGACACATATGATGTTTATCTGCTATATTCGTACGCCATTATAGATGTTGGAGAACTTAAACTTTTGGAGATAATTACACTTGCCATGTAAAACGTGATAACATAAATAAAGAAGACTCTCGACGAATATGCAATATATTCATTAACATTTACAAGAAAATATTTTTATTGTATCCTCATCAGCTTTCACGGGCAATTAAATTGTTTCGTGCAATGTCGAGATTAATTTTTTATATATAATTTTTTCTTTCTTGTTGAATATTGGGTCTGGGAAAAAGTTCGTGGCGTTTTTCCCGTTAGATGGCGTCAGTTGCAAATAACTCAGGAAACACAGATCGCAGCGACACCACTAAACGCTCGTTGGAAAGGTGACACTTCGAGCGTTACTTTGAGTGTAGAAACATCGAAATTGGTGCAGTGATTGGAAAGTTGTTTGCGTTTGAAAATGGAGAAAAGTAATGAAAAATTGCGCTATATTTTGCAATATTATTACGACAAAGGGAAGAACGCCGCGCAGGCTTGTGAGAAAATTTGTGCTGTGTACGGTGAAGGTACTTTATCAAAATCTGCTGCGCGGAAATGGTTCGCTCGCTTTCATTCTGGTAATTTTGATGTGTAAGATGAGTCACGCTCTGGTCGTCCAATCACTGAAACAGCTGATGAAATTCTTGAAAAGGTCCAGCAAGGTAAGCATATCAGCAGTGTCGATATTGGTATGGAGCTAGGCATTGACCACAAAACTGTTTTTTGAACCATTTACACAAAGCTCGGATACAAAAAGAAGCTCGATGTATGGGTTCCTCGTGAGTTGAGCGCGAAAAACATGATAGACCGAATTAACATCTGCGATGCGCTGCTGAAACGCAATGAAATCGAGCCATTTCTGAAACGTGTCATAACCGGTGATGAAAAATGGATCACGTACGACAATCGGAAGCGTAAAAGATCGTGGATAAGGGATGGTGAGCCGTTACAAGCGTTCGCGAAGCCAGGATTGACGCCGAAAAAAGGTGATGCTGTGTGTGTGGTGGGACTGGAAGGAAATCGTCCACCATGAGCTACTTCCAGTTGGTCAGACGATTGATTCTCAACTCTACTGTGGACAACTAGAGAGATTACGCCAGGCGATTGAAGGAAAACGGCCCGAATTGAATAATAGGAAAGGTGTTGTCTTCCATCATGACAACGCCCGACTACACACTTCTTTGATGACCCGTCAAAAATTGCGAGAGCTTGGTTGGTTGGGAAGTTTTGATGCATCCGCCGTATAGTCCAGACATAACACCCTCTGACTATCTGACTTGTTCCGATCTCTGCAGAACTCTCTCAATGGAATTAAGCTGGTTTCAAAAGAAGCCTGTGAAAACCACTTGATTCAGTTTTTCAACCAGAAATCACAGAAGTTCTTCACCGATGGCATCATGGCTCTACCCGAAAAATGGCGAAACATTGTCGATAATAATGGAGCATATTTGGTTTAAATTCATTTTCACGCTATAAGAAAACCAGTTGAATTTTACTAAAAAAACGCCACGAACTTTTTCCCAGATCCAATATAATAAGTTAGACAAATTTCGGATAACTTCGAATAAAACATCGGATCTAAAATTGAAAGATTAGCAAGATTCTGTGTCATAAATTTGTGTCTGTAAAATGATAAAAGTAAGGTTCTACGGTAAAATGCACTAACTTATTTTAATACGCATCGTTTCTTGAATATCGTCCGTTCCAATATTGTCGTTTCGATGAAGGAATAATTTACGATATTTAAAATAAATATCGGTTGGTAACTGTTTTGCCACCGTTTCTAATCATTCACGACTTTAGATCGAACAATAATTTTTCCTTGAAGCGATGTTTTCAACTCACATGAGTGACCTATTAATATTAACTTATTAATGTTTACATATCTATAAGATACGTAATGGATTTCCTCTTATTCGTTACTCGTAGGATCTTTCATATTACACTTACTCTTCCCCTTTATGTCATGAAAGATTAAGCACGTGGTTACAAATCCAACAAACCCATTTCATCATACATGGGTATTCGTTTCGATATTATTTTTCGAAAAAGTGCACCCTTTATACTCGGATTTTCGTAACCACCATCGTCACCACCCCCCAAAATCTCATCGAGATCTCTTATATTATCCTTGTCGCACACCACTATCGGCAACACCGTGAAGGAAGCTATCATTCCATAAGCAGCTCTTTCCTTCAAGGAGTCCTTCAATTTTTCTATGGTAGGCGGCTGCGTTTTGCAGCCGATTTCCTTCATAGTGCACGATAGTGTTTTAAGGTACTCGTCCAGCAGGACATCTTTGTTATTTTCAATGGTCTCCACGGAGGGACTTGTGCTGAGGAAGTAGAGGAGATCGATCGCTGGCGATGTGTAGACAGCCAATTGAAAGTCCACCTGCAATATCAAACGAAGTCACGATCGATCGATCTCATGAGCGCTCGGCAATTGAATTGGAAATGAAATCCGTGTACGGGAAAAGAAGTGGCACCCGTGTTTAGGAAGTCGAGAGTTTGCGTGGGCGACACGGGCAGACAGGTGGTGGATGTATCTGAATTCGATCAAGCTGAATTTATTGCATTATTCATAATGCACTGCATTTTGAGTCGCACCGCATATCGTCGTTGACTCTTTTTGTCTCGGTGTCGGTGAGGTCAATGTCGCGGCCTTATTTTCGCCCGTAATTGAAGCGCGCGTCGGTGATTATTTTATCATTTTAATTCATACCGAGATGATAGATAATTGAAAGAAAAAGCATCATATTTTGGGCATCTTATTAGTTTATAGCACACTTCTGTGGCGTACTCACACAAATATGACTGATTGGTTTTCCAGCGTCATTGTACTTGAACAACATGTTGTTCACCCAGAAATCTCCGTGGTTGATCACGCAGAAATCGCCTTCGCGTGGCCTGCTTACTTTCATCCCTATATCGTACATTTTGCTGGCGATGTTAATCATTTTTTTTGCGTATCTAATGAAAGAAATATGTCTCGTAGAAAGAGCTTCACATGGTACCTCAGGAAGATCTCAGGAATCGAGGAAGAGAAAAGAAAACGTTTAATGTTGTCGTTAAATTGCGTTTGCACGCGAGTCTTACTTTTGATCTATCTCCGGCCAAGTTTCTATTTCTTTTCCTAACGACTCAACACTGACATTGAAGAAATCACGGAAGGTGTGCGGGTGATCGGGATTGAACATTCCTCCTGCATACAGCTGTTTTTGACTCGGCTCCTAAGTATTAAAATATTTGCTTAAGTTTACGTAAGCTTGGCAACACCTCGCTGATATCTCACTGATATCTCTGATTATCGAAAATTACTGGATTATCGGAGCAAAATCTATGGATAAATAACGATAAGATCAGTATTTATACATGACGTAGCAAATTTGTCGAATCTTTTTTTCTCTACTTGACTGTTTCTCCCCCTTCTTATTCAAGCGTCGAAGCACGCGTTGCTCTAAAGGGTAATAACGGATATTGAACTTTGGTTATTCTCCGTCAGACATACCGGCTGGATCATCTACCGTGTAGTTTCAAACTCCCATTCGCCTGTACAAAATCGCAGCGGTTTATGGTGACCATTATGCCGCACGCATTATTACCACTTTGATACGGCGCATTACGTATACGTATGCGCCGTATCAAAGTTTAGGGTCGCGAAGCACGATGTTCATTTTGGATGGGTTCAGTTTTATAGAGATTGTTAACGATCGCATTAATTTTTCCTTATTCCGACGCGTATTTGCTCGCATCATTTTTAATTTACGGTTCAATATTGCTAATAATTCACTCCGCGTTTAAGTATCATATTTCGTCTTATTGTACACTAGGAAAAAAAATTTAGTATCTCTAACAAAACTGTTTAGTTGAGGCATTTTTTAATAGCAACCAAATATCTTGTTTTATATAACAAAATATTTAGTTGTCTCAACTAAATATATTTTTCTGCTTTGTTCTCTGGACCAAAATGATTTTGTTCTTAGACTTCATATATAAAAATTAAGCATTTTAGTTATTTTATCCATAAAAATTACATAATAACGAAATATTATTTTACGTAAACTAAAATAATGCCCAGTGGATACTATTTTGTCTTTCTGTGCACTAAAATTTAGATTTTATATATTAAGAAAAAATTATAGTATTTTTAACAAAATTCATATAGTTAAAGCTTTTTGATTGCTGTAACAAAAGTATTACGTTATACGAACAAACCGTGATGAAACAAGATATTTGTTTACAGTAACTAAATAGTTTTTTAGGGCATATTTTAACCAAATTATTTTACGATTATGTTACAACAAAATTTTAGTTCACGCAACAATACATTTTTCCTAGTGTATATTATATAACGCAAAATACTCCAAAGTATATATAAAAATATATAAAACAATCATGTGTGCATGTATCTGCTGCTGACAGAATAATATTAACAAAAACTTGACGTTGCGTACAGTACAGTAATGGAGTCGGACAGTACGAGCGGAGAAGTGAGTGAATACATATGATAAATTTTGCACTCGAAGGATGAGATAAAACGCTGCTGAGCGAGTTAAAACGCGCGAAAGAACGAAAGAGAAAAGAAACAAATTTTATAAAGACGGGAAAAAAACAGAAATATTTACAACACTGGTGACAATAAATTTTCGTTATCCGATATTTCGTTATCCGATATTTCACGTTGCGCATGTGAATGTGAATGTGAACCTAATTGATGAATTTGTTTAATTTTTGATAATTGACACAAGTCACACGAGATTCATTATTGTTGAAAAGACATCTCAATGTTTCGAGCTTGGTGTTTCGAGTCGTGCGCGATCATAATACTGACAAGATGCTCGTTACATGTGAATTTAAATCACACGCAGTTTTATTCACGTCGAAGGAATTTTTACGAGGAGTTTTAAGCTGGTCTTGGAGTGGTTTGAATTTAATTATGTCTAAAATTTGCATAACGTAACCTTTTCATATCCATGTTAGATTCACATTATGTTGGCGATGAGAAGAGAGAGTTAGACGGCAAGATGTGTATTGTAAACACGTTGACTTCGATTGCGCAATTTACCTTTTCACAAACAGCCACAGATGTCGCGTGAAATTTGGCCAATCCTTGAAGCGCTAATATACTGTGAGCAAGATCGAGACCAGCCTCTCGATCGGCCATACGAAAACCGAGAGGTGCGAGGTCCTCGAGCACCAGAAGCGGTATGTCTTCCTTCTGTATGTACAAACATTTGGCGCTTAGGAGATGTTTGAATTTCAACAACTGATTCATTTTGAGCAAGGTGTTTGACATCATCGACATTTCCGTATTGAAGAGCGGCGAACTCAAGATCTGCAAATTTTTCAAAATTAATTTGAATTTTCATTCGGCGCATTTTTAAATTTTCATTCGTGCAAATTTCGACATTACAATCCGGTATAATAGTAACGTCACGATGTGAGCAAACGTTAACGTTAACGGTATTTATGCATAAAAGGGGCCCCCTGTCCGATTTAATTTATTTTTAAATATGTTGTTGGGGGAGTCTTTCTGAGTGGTTTTATATACATATATAAGGGTCGGACGCAAATAGCTTCGGAGATACAAGCTGAGAAACGATGAAAGTAGTAAATGTAAAAATTCATTTAAAGTAATGAATCACCGAAGCATACACACATACACACATATACACACCGAAGGGGAGAGGTGCGGAGGGGTCTTCGGCCCCCCCACCCGCACCCCCCTCTGGTCGAATTTGCGTCACGTGGAAAATCGCAAACTCATGTGACACAGAACAATACGACTTTCCATATGAAGCGAGTTTCATCCGTCAAGGAGGGGTGTAGGTGGGGGGGCCTGTTTGTTTATGTTTTCAAAATAACTCTATTGGTTTGTTCATGTTTGAATTTTTTCATATATTTTCGACGAAGAACATTCATTATTCACTTACAGACCGTCTCATCGTACAGTTTTCGGAACGTGAAGAAAAATGAAACTACACGAATTTCTATCCTTTCTCAACCTGTATCTCCGAAGCTATTAGTGTCCGACCCTTATATATGTATATGAAACGACTCGGAAAGACTCCCCCAACAACTATTTAAAAATAAATTAAATCGGGGAGGGGGCCCCTTTTATGTATAAATACCATGTTAACAATACGCACGCATACATCTATGATTGATTTTAACTCTTATTTATAGTAGACTATTTATAGTAGACATCTATGATTGATTTTAACTCTTATTTATAGTAGACAAGTGCGACTTGATAGGAATTGAATAGGCTTAATATTTGTTTGAGTCAGAGTCAAGGCGGCAGCTTCATTCGAAGTGCGAATCGCAAAATGTCGAGTCATACAATTCTTGAATTATTTAGACAAGTATCTCGTTATTTTTCGTTTTTTTCTTACATGCTTGCTGAGTCAGTGCTATTAAACTAATCACCGACGTCTATTGACTAATTACGTTCGTCATTCCATTTCGAGGAAATATCTTTGTGTTGTTTGAACCGTTTGAAAACTTCGAATTGCGAGAATTTAAATGCAGATCTCGCATATTGACACAATCTCTCCGCTCTCCCCTGCAAAATCATACTTAATTTTTGCGTTAATTGATTCTTTTTAAGACCCGGCGAGTACAAATAGATGTTCAGGTTCGGCCTTTGACTGAGGCAACATTTTAACGTGCGAATCTTCAAAGGGAATAATTAACGTGAAATTAAATAATTAGAGAGAGAGAGAGAGAGAGAGAGAGAGGTGGGAATGTGGAATTTTAATATTAATATAATTGGGACTCAGAAGATAGTTTGACGTGGAAGATTGATTCATCGCGCGTGTTGCAAGTCCGGAGAAAAATATTCACACGAATATCCATCCAGCGAGCAGCTCTCAGAGCCATGTATTATTAGTGCGGCTACTAATCATGTTAATTACAAATTCAGTTTTGAGGATTTAATCCGATTCGATTTGACACGGAAGACAACATTGATCTCTGAAGGATTGAGCTGTGAGAAATGCAACTACATCAGAAGAGACACTCACGAGATCCTTGCGTATCCCGTCGTTGATGGGCGAGATTTTGATGATGATTGATTTTTTCTTCGTGACCTTACGACCGGCCTCATCTTGCGTGTATTCGACCATAGCCCTAATCATATCACTGGTGTAGTTGTCACCCTTCTTCGTAGCCGGTTTCGTGAATATATCGATCACGTTGATCGAGTTGTCCTCCTCCGACTTTCGCAGGGCCTTCTGCACGAAGCATACATTCAGCCATTCCGGTGTCTCTACGGGCATTTCTGAAATTGGAAATGGAATTGGAGAATTTCCCCGACAAATCATTGTTCTTCTCGCCGTGTCACGAAACGCGAAAACGATTCTTTACGATAACTTATTGTTCGCGGTGAGATTTATCACGTTTCCTTTCTTCCCGGCCAACTCTCTCTCTACCAACCAACCCCCCCCCCCCACTCCGGCCTTTCCGCCCTCCTCTACGGGCCAACTCGTCCGCCGTTTTTCGCCCATTTTACCGTCGTTTCTTTCTTCCCACCCGTCGATATTCAAGACGGACATTCCTGTGCGTCCGAGATCGCTGTTTCAATTAAGAGCGTAATAATGGGCCGCCGCTTTTCCCTTCGCTCCGCCGCGCCGGCCAACGAGGGCATACGTACCCATCTTGTCGAGACGTTCCGTCGAAACGTGATCGAGTTGCGGCTATTTGCGAGAAATTTATGACACGTCCAGCGTGCCACGATCGCGTATATACTTGTTGGGCCGAACGATGTCCACTATATCTCACTCTTGATGAGTTTTCTCAGAAATGTTATCCGCACTTTTCTCAAGTTCAAGCGCGACGTATGCGACGGAGTGCGCTGGTGTGTGGATGACGGCTTGAATCTTAACCGCGACTGACCAGAGACTGAGCGCGACAGCCTGTGATATAGGTTGTGTAACCGAATGTAAGAAACCGAACATCGTAAGCGAATAAACATCGGGTGTTGAGGAATCTCATGCTTGGATGCACAATACTGTTTGGCCGCGTAATTTCAATCACGACATACCATTAGATGTTTGTGTATGTGTGTGTGTGTGTGTGTGTGTGTGTGTATACGCACCTAATGATTTCGCTAAATATTAAAGTCAATTTTTTCTAATGTGATATTTTTGTCGTCGTTATTTTATCGTTATCTTACGAAAAACTTTACTGCATGTACAAAGTCCAAAAAGGCGCTGTCACATCGGACTGTGTTTACACACGTAAATTATATAAGAGCGACATTGGATCTCCCGTTTTAGCGACAGAACGATAATGCCGTGAAATCTTACACACCACGACTTATAAAGGAATTGATAGTTATTAGTGACATTCCAAGTAAGAAACGGAAGTAAGCCTGAAGAATAAAAGGAAAGAAGAGGGGATGATACAAGGTTGATGAGTCGGATTGGTGTTTTTACTTCGCTTAACTGCGATACGATAAAAAAATGTTGCGTAAAAACTTGACATTCTTGGTACAATGAACGAGAAAGGAGAAAGTCGGTGCCGAAATGGAATAACACGGAATGCCAGAGAATGAGAGAGGGAACCGGGGAATTTTGTATAATTTGTGAAGGTAAAGTTAAGTGGGTGAGTAGGTCACGCACAGAAGAAGCATTAAAATGAGTCGCTTAGTATACGATACATTGTCGTAAAAGTAAGATAAAAACCGATAAAAAACAAGCGTCAAAAAATTTCAACTGAAAGGTAGAATGTTAATGAGAAGGAACAATGTCGAGAAAAACGTTCTCTTGCATTTATTGCGATGTATATTTTTCTTGTGTAAATTATACTCGTATTTATTATATCATACTTTTATTTACTTGATGCGAGAATTCAAAGGTCACAAATTTTCGACACGTTGCACATACTTGAGTAATTAAATATACGGCACGTGGGGCATATACATAATGAAATGTAAATGAGATGGAGAAAATGTAACATCCGAGAGTGTAAGAAACCGTAAAATGATTAAATCAAAGCGTCGGAAGCGCTAAAATATAAATATATGAAAATGGGATCGGACATAAGATTTACGAAAAGTCGTAAAGATCAGATAAGAACAGTAAAATACAGTAACAGCCAGCGATAGGTTACAGCAATAAGTACAGAAATATTTGAATGAAAGTCGATAGCACTAATATCTGATGAACATTGACCTACATGCATAAATAATCATTTACGATTACGTACGTTTGAGTGCTAGGTATTAATTTGTTTTTCTTTGCTCAAAATTGTGACACGATAACCAACGGATTTAAAAAAACGGATTTATGTTTAAAGCGATTAAAAATTGACAGACCAAAAAATAAACATGTGCATTTTGCAATTCGTACATACGTTTCTCCGAAATATTTTTCCCATTCACTTGATATGTTAAACACTGCAAGGTGTAAATAATGTTTTCATTTCATTTCTTTAATGCATTTCTTTAATGTACTTGAAATAAATCGATATCTGTACACATGGGCGTGTGCGTGTGTGAAAATAACAAAGGCGGCTCGTTGAAAACATATCAATCAGTCTAGACTCTTCCGTTAAGGAACATTACTTTTATAAGTAATAACGTCATATAAGCTACCGCTAAATGGAAAAAAAGGAATTGGCAATTTAAAAGATACGTAACGTTAAATTAAATATGATACGAGAAATATCTTCAATCTCGTTGATAGGATCCTTTTTAAACTGTGACGTCTACTAATATAAAGCGGCATTCCGTTCTTTATTGGATCTGTTTGCTACGACGATGATTTATTACGGTGAATGTTTACTCGTCATTCGTCCAGAAATTGATAAGAATATTTACTTTAAAGAGTAATTTATGATTTTAATAGTATTTAAGTAATTAGTATTATTTAATTTTAGTTGCGCAACTTATCATATAGCTCCGTCTACTCCAGACGAGACGATAATTTTTATCTCGTCTTATATTATCATTTGAATATATTATATATTTTATCGCCTACACACTTATTTATAATTGAGTATTTCTTATCGATTATATATCTGATTTTATCTGATTATATATCTGATTTTATTGCTTGATTTACGCTTCTTCATAGAAGCTGTACAGTACATGCGTAATAAAACGCAACTTGAAGAACATAAAAGATAACAATATTTTAATTGTAGTTTATTGGAAATATTAAAATTTTGGGTCTCAAGTGTCCAATGATTGCAAAATACGAATACGTGGAACAAAAACATTGCAGCACGAAAAGAAAAAAAATTTAACCAATTGTTATATAACGACTAGCACATAGAAACTGCATAGATCAAGCGCGGGATATATTTAGTTAATCAAACTCAAATGTTACTAAGGAAAAACATTGCTTTATATCAAAGTCGTTCAATATTTGTTAATCAGAACATACAGTTTGAATTGACGCATCGTGAAAACATTTGAATAGGACATATGCGAAAATTTGCTTTAGATTAACTTCAATTGGTTATAAAGATTTATCTGCGCGACTTTACATCTGTCCGCAAAATCCACAAATGTCCGATAAAAACTTACATCTGTGCGATGCGTGCAATTTTTATGTAATGCAGCTCATAAACTTCACTTTGCGGGAACACAATTCACGCGAATTATTTTACTTTGTATAAGCGTGAGATTCCTTACTAACGTTTTTGCGGCAACTTTGTTCGATTCTTCTTTTCTTGATTAGAGCGAGTTCTTTAAATAAATCAACAGCTGTATTTATCGCGGTTTTTATTATCTGTTATTCAGCGAGTACGCTCTGGCATATGCATGTACGCACAGTTGCACCACATAATAAAGTACCATCAAACTGCAATTTTTTTACGAAACGTTGAAATAATTATGTCGTGTAAAAATGTTACTTGTCGTCAGTTAGTTAAATTTGACTTGAAATTGTCCTCTTCCTCCCGTCGGTCTAATTTCCACCAGAAGACACAGTATTGTTGCACGACTCGTAGGCTGCCGGTGTCAGTAATTTCGTTCGATAAACATTCACGATAATTTTCCGTTCCGGTGTCGATATGCAGAGGCGAGAGAGACGTTTTGTAATACGATCGAGATACTGACCTGCAGGTTGATGGTCCTTAATTCCGTCTGATTGTATAGACTTTTCACATGTACGCTCACTGTGTCCGTCGCTTCGCCAAGCCAGAAGTGAAATGATTCACGAGGAGTAGGAGTATTACGTTTTATGCAACAATATAGGTGTAGATCCTTTTATACTCGTGTGGAAAGTTTGTAGATTATAAGTCTGTGTTTAGTATCGTCCAATTCGCAAGTAGTGGCTGTCACGGACATGACGTTTAATCTCTTGGTTGGTTGTCGCTTTTATTACCGGATTTCCTGATCCATTTCAAGCCGATTGAACTTGACTGTAACACCTTAGATACCCACGCTGATTCGTTCGCAACTCGATTTTTATTGGGAAAAGATAAGATATGGGAAAAAGGCTCTATCGATCGATTAGATATCAACTATGATGGCCCACCATGATGATATCGGATTAGATAATTAACAAGAAGATTAAAATAAGAGAAACAACGAAACATGTGGGAGAAAGAGATGCAAAATTTTATTTTATGGCGATGAAGCGGTAAACGAAGGAATGGACGCTTTTTCGCGCAACTTTAAGAATTCTGCAGAAATGCTGCGTACAAGAATCCGTTGGATTTGTCTATCTTGAATCTCTATCTTGAAAATGAATAATTCTCGGAATTTTCTCTCTTCTCTTTCCCGACAGCTGGAGATTGGAATTAAAAAGTCACACAGTAAATATCGCGAAATATATTCCGTACGAATTATCGTTATTGATGATTATGCATGCTATTATATTTTTCGCCAGTATATTTACTGCGATTACATAACAAACAATGCTTTTCGTTCGATAAAATGAGTAACATTATACAATAGGCCAGAAATATCATATTGAAAGTCTAATAGTTTTACAAACTTATATATATCGGGTAATAGTAAATTACTTTTCAAATAACAAATTTCTCAAAAAACGTATATAATCTTATCACTCTGTCTTGTTTATGTTATTATTTTGAAAAGGAGGTTCATTCAAAAGGAGATGGTAATTTTGGGATGAAAGTATACACACGAATCTAAAAACAGTTATTCTCTGCTTCTGCTAAAAATTAGAACCAGGCATAAACACATTTTTTCGAATAAAATATGATTTTTCGTATTTTTGTTGATATTTTAAAAATCTCAAAATGATTAAACATTTTGCACAATAGTTGATCAGTTATGAATCTCGTACATCAATGTTAAATAAAAAATTTGACAATATTTTATATTTCATAATTCTGCATGATAAAAGAAATTTAAGGAAAAAAGATTTTTTTTCATCTCATATTTTAAACAGACGGTTGCCAAATCTTTGTTGAAAGTGTGAATAACATTTTTTGAATAGCGAGAATTTAATCGCATTGATATTGATAAAGATTCTCTGTCTATATCTATTATTATATACGTTATACGATATGATGTTATAGCATGATAATTAAAAAAAGAAAAATTCCACGAATTGTACGTCTTGTTAATACTGCTTGTTATATATTGGTGTTATTTGTCAAATTACAGCTGAAAATTTTCAATATATCGTCCGCGTTGCAAAATATTGCAACATTATTGCAATGTTGTGACATATTCATTTCCTTTATTTCTCCATGACGCATGCTTATAATGCATTTTATTTGTCAACTATTTGTTAATATCCTAAGAAAAAAGCATGATATTCGATCAATAGCTTCTATACAGCGATCGATAGCTTATATACAGGGTGTCCCATTTTAAATCCTACCTAACCTACCTAAATATCTCAGAAACACTGTTAAATCGAAAAATGTTTCAGACAAAAGTTGTTTGGCTTGAAGGCGGACATAAGACAGCAGTAGCATTTTGCATATAGATG